CGTCCCAAGTGCCGAAACTCCAGGCATGTGCCACCTTGTTTTATCATTCTTGAATTTTGTGCTAGGATGTGGCTAAGTTACGTGAACACAGATCCTTTGAGGTCTTTTTTTTTAGCTTTGTTAGTTGAGACCAGAACAATATTTAGTGTACAGCTGATTTTATTTCACTACTAAAAAACATTCTTCTAAGTACAGTATTTCATGCTCCATAAGTTATTATGCTCCTACTCTGGCTGCTGGAAGCAAGTACTTACTATTCCTGGCTCTTTGTAAGCTCCAGGTGTTTCTGCTAGTCATTTTGAGTGACTCCTTCCCTAGCCTCAGGTAATTTCTTCTACATGTGGTACTTGTAATCGTTTTTTAATACCGCTGCAACAAGTTACAAATTTAGTGGTTTAAACAACATAAATTTATCTTGTTTATTGATTGTGATACTGGGGCTTAAACTCAGTCCTTTGCACTGATACTACAACCCTAGTCCTATTTTACTTTTTATTTTGAGACAGTCTTATTATGTGGCTAAATTGCCTAAGCTGGGCTTGTATTTGAGATTCTTCTGCCTCAGCCTCCCACAGTACCGAGATTATAGGTGCGTGCCAACATGCCCAATTTACTTTAAAGTTCTTCAAGTCAGAAGTCTGGCATAGATCTTACTAAGTTGAAATTCAAATCTTGACAGGGCTGCATTCCTTTCTGCTGGCCTGGGGAGGATCTATTTCCTATTTTCAGATTGTTGGCAGAACTTGGTTCTTTGGATCTGTAGAAATGATGTCTCAATTTTTTTTTTCCAACTATGAGCTAATGGCCATTCCAGCTGCTGTTGCTACCTCACTGTCTCAGAACCTCTTTACTCTGTCTTCAAAACCTGCAGTGATGGGTTGACTTTTTCTCATGCTCCACATTTCTTCTTCTTCCCTCTTTTCTGTGACCCAGCTGAGAAAAGTATTCTGCTTTTAAAGTCTCATGGATTAGGTTAATCTTACCTCATAAGCTGGGATAAATTTTTCATCTTTAGGTCTGAACTTTAATCTCGTCAGCTAAGTCCTTTTTGCCATATAAGGAACAATTTATGTACACCAATTTTGGGTATTAAGGCATGGACATCTTTGGGGCCATTATTCTGCCACTCCAGTGCTGATTAAAATTCACTGAAGCCTTGGTGGCACACTCCTGTTACCCTAGTACTCAGGAGGCTGAGGTAGGAGGTTTGCTACAAGTTCAAGGCCAGCCTGGACTACGTAGTGAAACCCTGTCCCAAACAGCAAATAACTGAGAACTTTGGGCATGGTGATGCATGGCTGTGATATCAACTACGAGGGGAACTGAGACAGGTACCTCACCACCCTAATCCAGCCTAGGCAATTTAGTATTGGGAGGGTATCAAGAATTGATCTCAGGACTTCTCAGGGCAGGTGCTTTGCCCACTGAGCAAGCTATACCCCAGAACCCCCTAAAAATTTCTTTTAAAGGTCTGGAGCTTTAGTGGCAGAGCACTTGCCTGGCGCAAGCATGCAGCCCTATATTCAGTTCTCGTTACTGCAAAGACCAGTAAACAACCCCCCTGAAAAAAATAAAATACCATCTCACTAAGCACCTGGGAGACTCTCTGCATGTCTGTGAAATTGAATGTGTTACCATAACAAAATATCTGAGATAATTAGTTCATAAAGAAAAAAAGGTTATTTTGACTCATGGTTCTAGAGATTTTAGTCCATGATTGGACAGACCCATTGGCCTTGGGCCTGAGTCTGTCTGGTTGGCATGGTGGATAGAAATTGGGAGCGTGTGCTAGAGGAAAACCACTCACTTTATGGCTAGGAAACAAAATAGGAAGGGAAAGGGGCTAGAGTTTTACAGTTTCCTTTGAGGCTATGCCCCTAATGACATAAGGACCTCTCATAAAGCCACACTTCCTAAAGGTTTCATCCCCTTCCAGTGGTGCCACCCTGGGTCCAAGTCTTTATTATGTGGATTTTTAGAATCGCTTACCAAACCATAGTGACAGGTAACACTCTGGTAGAGAATTCTGCGAACACTGGCCACTGTTTTCTGAAGTCTATTGTCCCCCAAACTGCAGTTTCATGTGTTTAGGTTAGTTTTTTAGTTGTTCTGGCCAGGAGGGCAGTTCGTCCCCACACTGCAGTCTGAGTCAGGACAGACAATGCCTGGTGCTTGTTCCCTTCCATGAGCTCCTATCCAAGTTGGCCAAGAGCCACAGAAGCTCAAGTGTGGGTCTCTGCCTCGGGGTCTGGGCTGGGTTTGCCTTTGGTGTTCGCGTACAGGAATCGCTTTTCACGGGAAAAGCCTCTGTCTTGGCTCCTCTACCTCATTGGCTTAGCCCAGGTGTGGGCACTTGAGGTTTGAGTTCCGTATCAACCCTGCTTTTACTTTTAAGAATGTACTTATAGGACTGGGGATTTAGCTCAGTGGCATAAACACCTGCTTTGCAGTCATGAGTTCAATCCCTGTATTAAAAAAAAAAAAAAGAATGCACTTGTAGACTCTAGAATCTGCCACCAGGCATCTCATATCCTGCCTGACATCCGCTGGTGTGTTGAGTTCTTTTATGATTTGTCGGCCATCTCCTTGCTGCGCCACAAGGAATGTGTGTGTTTATTTTCTGTTTTACTTGTTCCTTTTAGTTGCTATACCACTGTTAAACCAGAGCTCTCTATCTGCCTCCATCTTTCTGGATCCCTGGGAGCTTCTGGTCTGTTAGCATGATTTTTTCTTGTTTTCTGTGCTCTTACGGGATCCACTGCCCTGCAGCCCTATACTGAAAATTGAATCCTGGGCTTTCTCACACACTGCTAGCTCTTTTTATTTTTTAGAGGTAGGGTCTTGGCTAGCCTGTGCCCAAACTTGCAATCTCCATGCCTCATCCCCTCAGATTGCTGAGATTACAGATACGGACCACCACACCATTCTGGGGATATTCTTTTAAATTTGCCGGTTTTGTTTTGTTTTGAGGGGCATACTGGGAATTGAACTCAGGACTTCACTCTTGCCAGTCAGGTGCTGTGCCACTGAGCTAAATCTCCAGCCCCATTCTGGGAATATTCTTTTAAAACTTGAATCTTTTTTGTCTTTTCATTGGGGTTTTTGTGGGGTAGATAAATGCTTTGCCAGCCCTCCCACCCCATACTTTATTTTTTGTCTTTTTTCTTTCCCTTTTAAAATTTATTTTTATTTTTAATTTTTTAATTGGTACCGGGGATCGAACTTACAACCACCTGCTTGCAAGGCAGGTGCTCATGCCGCTGAGCTAAATCTCCAGCCCCCCCATACTTTTTTTGTAACGCTAGGGATTGAACCTAGGGTTTTATATATGCTAGTACTGAGCTATGTCCCCAGATCTTTTTAAATTAAAAAAATTAATATTATTACTGTTGTTATTTTGACTTTTTTAAAAAAATAGGGTCTTATGTCAGTCAAGCTGGACTTAAATTCACCATGTAGTTTAGGCTGGCTTTGAATTCATGGGATCCTCCTGGCGCAATATCCTGAGTGCAGGGATGACAGGCATATGCCACCATCCCTGGCTTAAAGTTTATTTTGAGATGCAGTCTTGCTAAGTAGCTCAAACTGGCCCTGAACTTGCAATCTTCCTGCCTCAGCTGCTTGAGTAGTTGGGATTACAAATGTGTGTCACTAAGGCAGGTTTCAGCCTGCCATCTACTGTTCCCCCCATGGTACTGGGAATTAAACCCAGTCCTCATACTGAGCTGTATCCCCACATTTATTTATTTATTTTGGAGACAGGGTCTCCATAAGTAGTGCAGGCTGGCCTTGAACTCATGCCGATACTTCTGCCTCCACCTCCTGAGTACTAGGATTATAGGTATGCACCACCACATCCAGCCCACCTTTTTATTTTTTATTTTGGGATATGGTTTTACTAAATTTCTAATTGCCCAGACTAAACTCGAACTTGCAATCCTCTTGCCTCAATTTTCCAGAGTGCTGGGATTATAAGTATGTACTTATAATCATGTCCAGTTTTTGTTTGTTTGTTTGTTTGTTGTTGTTGTTTTGTCTTTTTCCTTTTTATCGGTACTGGGGGTCGAACTCACAACTGCCTGCTTGCAAGGCAGGCGCTTATGCCACTGAGCTAAATCCCCAGCCCCTGTTTGTTTTTAAGATAGTCTCACTAGGCTAAATTTTGAACTGGCCCTGTAGCCTAGGATGCCCTCACATTTGCAGACTTTCTTCTTTAACTTCCCAGTTGCTGAGATTACAGGCTTATGCCACCATGCTCAGCTCCAGCCTGCCTTATTGAACTAGAATTCTCACTTGTTTAAAATTCTTCACCTTCCAAAATTAATGCAGTTTCTTGCCTTTTGAAATGTTGTGCCTGGTGGCATCTCTTCTTTATTATTCTTTGGAATGTGTTGAGAAGGAGTGAAAGAGGCGAGGCAATTGAAGGAGTGAAGATATCAGTGGAATCATCAGGGAATAGAGGACTTGGGGTTAGAGTGAAACTAGCTGCCGTGTCAGTTGTAAGCCTGTAATCTCTCTTATCTTCCAGGTATTTAGAGAATTTGATAAAGGATTTGAATGGGATAGTACATGCTAAAGAGGCAGAGGCCTTTTGTATTGAAGAGATTTTGTCCTCTGAGACCATCTATGGCAAGTAGTGCTTTGTGGGGAGGTGTTTGAAAGCTGTGATGCCAGCTGCTCTTCTCAGAGCAAAGAGGAAGGTGCTTTAGATGGAAGAGTGGCAACACTTGGTGGAACTCAGGGTTGCAAGGTATGGCTGTGCATCAGCTCTCTACATACCATGGGTTGGGCCTCACCTCAGGCTCAGGGATGGAGAGAACTGGAAACCACTAAAGATGAGCAGTCTTTTCCTCTTCCTGAATGGCTCAACCACCTGTGGCAAGGATATTCCCCAGGACAAATTCATTTAAATTGAGTGCTTTGCACAAAAATAGTAACAGCCTATGAACTTAGGTATTGTGGAATCTTATGAATTAAATCCTGTGTTTTTGTTATTCCAGGTTGGAGAAGCTATCTGTATTTATACTGAGTGAGCAAAAGCTGAGACCAGAGCAATGACCGAGTCCTACATGAAGAGTGAGTATGAAAGGCAGTGTGCCTTCTGCCCTTCTGAAACAGGGCAGGGCATAGCTTGTTGGTGTGTCCACTTGGCATGTGGGAACCTAGGTGGGACTGGGACCCAACAAGCAGTGGCATTCAGAAGTGTGGGTTACAGGAAGGGCTGTTGAATGATCATGCTTTATCTATTAGACACACAAGTCCATTTGGACTACTGTAAAAAATACCTTAGCCTGGGTAATTCATAAATCATAAAAATTTGCTTCTCACAATTCTGGGAGCTGATAGTCAAGGTCAAGGCACCGGTAGGTTTGCTGTTTGGTGAAGACCACTCTCTGCTCTCCAGATTGTACCTCTTGCTCTGTGTCCATGTGGGAGACTGACAGACAGGGCTAGGGTACCCCCTCAGCCCTCTGCAGATGATGCTCACAGCCTACGGGCCTGTCTCTTAAAACCTCCTTGAGAATTAAGTTTCAACATGAGTTCTGATGGGATATCAGGCCATGGAAGTAGTTCATATAGAAGCTGAGGAGGTGGATTTGGCTCAGCAAGCTCAGAGTTCAGGGATCCATGGGTCTTTGCCCCTTTTTACACATACCCTGGCATGGATTCAGTGTTTAGTCTGTCTAGCCACTGCTTCCCCAACTAAGATCAGCAGTTCACTGAAGACTGCTTGTGTATACTGGGATCCTGCACAGGGAATGAATTAAACCTTAGGTTCTATAATGCTGTGCCCTGAGCTTGAAGAACACTGAGAAGCCTCCAACTGTGTAAGGTAATTCACAGGGGGGAAGGGGGATATGAAGAAGACTAGGTAACCAGGAGCTTGGGAGACCAGCAAGTGCAGGGCAGAGCAAGGCCACAAAGGTCAAAATGAAGGATGAAGACACTTGTAACTCACTGATGATAGAGACCTGGCTCTTTGACAGAGGCAACCTCAGGGGTGTCTGTGAAGGCCATAATTGCTAGAACAGATACAGATGTTTGTTGGAAGGCTTAGGATCAGTTTACTCTGTTGAACTTGGCCTTTGATACAAGCAGATGTTATTAATTGGATCAGCCTGTTTAACTCCTAAACTTTGGAATGGAAGGTTCTTAAAAGTCCAGCTTAAAAAAAATATGTTCAGCTTCCTGATCAGAAAGGAGGTCCTCTCAGAAGGGAAGACTGAATTGTACTTTGGTGCTTGTAATCTTCCATTACTGTGGCAGTAGCCTCTTGGGACATCCTCATTGGCAGTGGGCATAGGGCATGGCACTGGTAGAGCAGGAGGGCCTAGGACATCCCTATTCCAGCTTGGGGGGTCTTGTGGTAGGTAGGGTGCTTGGTTGGTACATGTCTCTTGGATGTCTGGCCTACTTTATGCTGAGTACAGGGTCTGGTGAGTACTCTGCCTGCTGAGAGCTATGCTCATTTGTTGGTTCCTTGATTCACATTTAGTATCACTAGGTAGAGTGCTTAGAATGGGAGCCATGATTTTATTCCTTTGTTGTTGCTGGTGGTGTCCTCACCCATGTAGTCACTGTGTCTAAGAGGAGTAGGGTCCAGGAGTCTACCCTGTCTGAGGCCAGACTCTTATGGAACCTTCTGGAAGAGGTTGTGTCTGTGCAGCTTGCTTGTGGAGCATGGCAGGTGTGTGCATCAGGCTGGGTGTGAGCTGATGGCCTGTGGAAGCCCAAGCCTTGTGGTCATGGCTGGAGTGGCATGTTCATGTAGGAGGTAGGCTATGTCCTGTCTGACTCACTGCCCTCAGGTCTGAGCTATGTGTTCTGGGCTGACAGCTTCTCAGTAACAGCTAGCCTGAGCTCCACAGCCCTGCAGCTGCCCACTTTGAGCTCCAGAGCCCTTCTGCAGCACAGGCTGGCTGCAGAGTTGGGCACTCTGCCCAGAGGGAGGCTGGGGCATATATAAGAGCAGTTATAGTTTGGTGTGGCTGAAGCCAGTAGGTACTACACTGTACAGGGTGACTGGGCCTACTGAGCCCTGAAACATCAGGCTGTGATGGGGTACTGCTGAGTCTTTAAGTTACTAATACTGTGCACCCCGATGATGGTAACTACCCAGAGACCTATTGAAACTTAATATGAGGTTTTGTTTGTTAGTTGGTTGATTGGTTTTGTTTTTTGAGACGGTGTCTTGCTGTGTAACCCAGGCTGGCCTTGAACTCACTATGTAACCAAGGCCGGCTTCAAACTCTCAGCAATCGTCATGCCTCAGCCTCCTAAGTGCTAGGATTACAGGCATGGGCAACCACAGCTGGCTTCAACATGAATTTTGACAGGACACCAGGCGAGGGGCTTACATGAGGATGGGAGCTGTAATGGATGGAGAACTTTGGGTCTACACACACTGACCAGGCTTTGTCACTGCAGGACTGTCCTTTGCCCTTCTTGATGCAATCACTGACAAGGACCCTGTGGTACAGGAGCAGGTTTGCAGTGCTCTGTGCTCCCTGGGGGAGTTGCGGCCGGCAGAGATGCTCCGCACCTGTGAGGAATACCTGAAGCAGCATGACAAGGTATTGCCTGTGATGCCAGTGACTAATTTGGGAGGTGATGGCCAGTTAGAGGCAGAGGGTGGTTGGTGCCAAGCCAGTCTATTAGCACAATTACCTACTTGCAATCTCTGGTCATCTCTGTCTTGTTGCCTGTGGACTGTGACTGCATCCCTCATGAACTAACAGTCCCATTGTGTGGGACTGGGCTGATACTCAGCTGTCAGTGCTTATGTGTAGAGGACATTTGCTGTCTTATTTTGCTCACTCAATGAATTCTGAGTACTCTTCCTGCTTGAGAAAGGGAAGATGTTTCTGAGGAATTTTTTTTTTTTTTTTTTGTCTTTTTCATTTTTATCGGTACCGGGGATCGAACTCATGACCACCTGTTTGCAAGGCAGGTGCTTATGCCGCTGAGCTAAATCCCCAGCCCCGATGTTTCTGAGTTTTAGTAGCTCAAGTGTGCAGAGGCTTTGGCAAGGGCTTGAAAATGTCCCCAGGACCCTGCCTTTCCCTGGGTGCTATAGTGGTCAGAGGTGCTGCACCCAGGAGGGGAATAGGGCCTTCTGTGATTCCTTTTACCCCCATGCTAATTTGATGGTCCTGAGAGGCTCAGAACTCTCATTTTGGCCCTTGAAGGCTATCAGGTTGCCAGCCTGAAGCTGTCATCTCACAGGCTTTCTGCCTTTGTCCTGAGCCTTGGCATAGTGGTTCTCTCTGAGCAACTGCCAATGCTGACTTTCTGCTCTCTGAAATTATGATGTACCTTTCTTGGTTTTCCTTCTGTGTGTTTTTGTAGTCTCAGAAGACCATCATCCTTTTTGTTTTGTTTGTTACTTTGACACATGGAAAGGAATCTCTGTATAAAGTGGGTGTCAGCTACCCTCCTTTGAAGAATAGCCCTATCCCTCAGGGTACCTGCTGATGGAACTGTGTTTGTGACTCTGCTGGCGGCCTCCCTCTTGCATATTTGGCCCTTTGTGTTCACACAACAGCAGAGGCAAGCTTGTTAGGAGGTTGACTGAAGCTGTAAGTATTCACAGATCATCCCAGAAGCTGCTTTCCTGCTCAGCGTGATGTAGGTGTCTGTCCTCTTTGGGCCTTAGGTGAGCCTGGTGCTTCCTTCTATAAGGGCCAGCTACATCATGGATGGAGCTGGCACCAGAGTCTTCTCTATGTGATGTGACATGCCAGTATCAGTGTCTGATAGAAAGAAGGTGATGTGGCCTTGCCATCTGAGGAGGTGGCAGAGCACTAAGGATATAACACCTGACCATCTGTGCAATCCATAGTAGGCCAAGTGTCCTTATGCTCTTCATTCCCTGCTGTTTTTGACTTCACCTATTTTCTACCCTTTTTTATTTTGAATTTTCTTTTCTTTTCTGTGGTACCAGGAATTGAACTCAAGGCCTTGCACATGCTAGGCAGATACTCTTCCTCTGAGCTACATCCCAGGCTATTTTATTTTTTAATTTTTTTCAGAAAGGGTCTCACTACTGCCTCACCCTTCTGAGTGCCAGGGTTACAGGCATGTGTCACTACGCCAGCTTGTCCTTTTTATTTTTAATTTTGAAATGCCTTGCTAAGTTTAGCAGGCTGCCCTGGCACTTATGATCCTCTTGCCTTAGCTTACTGAGTAGCTGGGCTTATAGGCATGTACTGCCATGCCTAGTCTCCATTTATGCTATTTTAACCAACTTTAAAAATTCTCCCTTATCATTTCATGTTTGAGTTGGAGCTCTGATTTTGATCTTGTAAGAGAGTATTGCTATTTCCCTGCCTGTCTTATGCTGGCCTCTTCTGCAAGCTGCTTCCAGCCTCTACTGTTCACTGAATCACTGCATTTCATCTGTTTGCATTTTATTTAGCATGTACATTTGAAATCACATAGCTTCTTTTTCCAAAAGAATGAGAACAGTAGGGGAAAGTCACACAGCATTGTTTGCATGAGATGCTGATAGGTGTTTGAGGACACACATGATGTTTCACATTGTCAGCTCCTGGCTGGTGTCCTGTTTTAATGAGCCTGGAGGCCTGTGGCTGTGTATGTAGCATGTGTCTCAGTGCAGAGAGCAGTAGGTGTGGCCAGTCTCATATGTGTTAGCCAAAGTCCAGCATAGGACAAACTCCTTAGGGCTGTCTGGCCATGAGAAGGAGTGATCTGAAAAAGAGAGGCAAAAAACAGTACAGTCCTCTTGTCAAATAGTGTCTGTCTTCCTCCCTCCTTCCAGTAGCTTCAACTTTAAACATTTCTTTGGAGTTTCCAGTCTCTCTCAAGTCATCCTAACATGAGATCCGATGGGCTACTGGTAGCCACGAGGATACTCACGCTGTACACAGAGGCTATTAGAGCCAGTGTTACCATGTGCAGGGCTGATAATGATGCTGTTAGCCTTGTGAACTCACTATTGCCTAGAAATGAAATTGGTCTCACGGTCTTAAAAGAGACATTAGAACCCAACATCAGAATGCAAGCCTTTGATTCTGATTCAGCTCGAGTGGAAACTTTGGTCCTGGATTATCCTGTTGGATTTGGAGATAGAAATAAACTTAACTTCCTCTACTGTAGTTGTACAACACAGTATATTTTTGTGACCAAATGTGTGGGGCTGTTTCCCCATATATCAAATAAACAATAAGTCCCACAGTGGACATCAGCTACTCAATTCCATCCCAATGCCATCTATTTGTAGTTAGCATCAGATCCTACAGGGCTCAGTCCCCAAGACTGCCCCCAATTTAGACAGTAGAAGGAAGTCACTGGCTATGGCTCTGAGTGATCAGCTACAAATTAGAGTTCCCACAATCTCCCCTTCAGGTTCAGTTAATTTGCTAGAGTGATTTATGGAACTCAGAAAACACTTTGCTTAAGTTTATTATCCAGCATATGACAAAGGATGCAAATGAGCACCAGATGAAGAGATACAGAGGGCAAAGGATGTGGAAGGTGATGTAGAGCTCTGTGCCCCCCTGGTTGCACCGCCCTCTGAAGATGGCTGCCTGGAAGCTCCTTGAACCCTGTTTGGGGTTTTATGAAGATTTTGTTACATAGGCATGATTGATCACATCACTGACTGTTGGTGATCAACTCAACCTATTAGTCCTTTTTCCTTCACCCCGCTCTGGAGGTCAAGAGTAAAGCTGAAATTCCCTAACTTCTAATCCTGTCTTGGTGTTTTCAAGCTGCCTAGTGCCATCCCAGTCCCAGCAACCACATCCTCAGATCACAAAAAAACGCTTCCGAGAATCCAAGGATCTTAGGAATCTTGTGCCAAGAAATCAAACAAAAAGCAAATGCATGTATTTTACATTATCACAGTGTTCATAAATTAAATTGTAATCTACTGAATTGACCAGCCTGTACACATCTCATGTTGTGGCCTTAGGGAGTGCTGATAGCCTTTAATGCAGGGGATAATATGACCACTCTTTGACCTTTAAGTCACATGGTAAAGGTCAAGTATATAGATTGTCCAGTCACTAGCTCAGCCCACTTGGCAGACTCAGTCAGAGCTATAGAACGGCTCTAGCCACCTGGCAACACCAGAACCACTGAGCTGGAACTTCACGTGCATGGCTCGGTTGTGAGCCAGCCTTGAGCTTGTCCCTCTGCTGTGTGCCTACAGCCCATCAAGGCAGATGTGGTCAGTACCCCAGTGTAGTCCCTCCTTTCTGTGATCATGTCACTCTGTGTAGAGCAAGGTGGGACCTGATGGAAAACAGCTTTTCACTGTTACTTGACTTCTATGCCCAGGGCACTTTGAAGAACAGTGTAACATGAGAACTAAACCCTTTCTTTAAAAATGCGCACCCGAGCCAGGAATGGTGATATATGCTTGTAAACCCAGCACTCAGGAGATTGGGGGAGGGAGATTGTCATGAGTTTGAGGCCAGCCTGGGCTACATAATAAGACCCTGTCTCACACCCTACCACCACCAATAGTAGCCAGGAGTAAAAAGCACAGCACATTTTTATTTTTCCCAATTGTATATCATGTTCCATCTACCTTCATTTGGGAGGAGGCCCTGTGTAGGCCCCTGATGACAGGATGGACAGCCCTGGGACATATTCAGATGGATCAGCACAAGACAATTGAAATAGAGCTCCAGAGCAGAAGTGCTACACATCTGTTTTTTAAAATGTAGATTCCTGGAACATTCGCTGGCCTCTGCTGCCAATCTGTTGTGCCACATTAAGCAGACATGCCCACAACTACTAAGTGGGCCAGGGAATTTAGGGTCAGGGTTTTCTTTCCTTCCTTTTGTTTTTCTGGGGAAAAAAAGGGCAAAGATTTTCCCTAAAGAGTTCTCATATGTGTAAGGAGAATTAGCAGTCAAGAAAGTCTACCTGGTGTTCCTTGAAAGGTGTTCCCAAAACCAAGACTAGGAAGAAGCTGGAAGCATTGGTCCAAATTAAATGGGACTGGATGTTCTGACTGCTTTATTATCACTGTGCTTCCCAGCTTTTCAGTGGTTCTTATAAATAGAATCATACCAATTCATATTAATTTTCTGTTCTTCTCCAAATTACCATGGGTATGCCAGCTGTGGCATCTTCCCTCATCTCTCTGCACCACTTCTCAGCCACAGCCTAAAGGCAGCTCCCCTTGGGGAAGAACTTCTGCAGGAATGCTGTCTCCTGCGAAGGATGGAAGTAAACATTCATCTTCTTAGCTAGGGTTTAAATAGAAAGCTGCCTGCTGAGGCTGGGAAGGGAAGGGGAGATGGGTGAAACCCCTTGGCTGAGAAAACATGCACTGCCTGACCCTCCTCACCCACCAAGACCCACCAATTCAGGGTGGCTGAGGCACCAGTGACCAAGATGGAAAAATTTCAGGCTGAAAAAGTCAAACCCAAGGCAGTGCTCTGTGAACTGTTGGTGCCACTGGAGTTTTCTGTGTCTGGGTGCTTATTCTTTTCTGGACCTTCCCTGTCAACTTTTCAGCTGGCACATCCATACCGCGCCATGGTCCTTAGGGCCATGGAGACTGTCCTGAGTGGTCATATCCACAAGCTGGACAAGAACACGGCCAGTGCCATCATCCTTTTGGCTTCCAATGAGATGACCAGGACAAAGGTAGGGTTTCTGGCTTGAAGGCGTGGCTCTGGTGGGAGGGAAACTTCTTTTATTTGGCCTCTTTTTGAGAACAGCAGGAATGGGCTGACTGGCTTGGGCAGCAGAGTCCATTTGGTCCTGTGCACACTCTTCTGGGGTGGCAGGCAGTCACCCTATAATTTTCAGAGGCAAACTGAAGCAGGGCACAAAGTGCCCGAAGTGGTATCCATCAGCCTGGCTCTTGGAGTGCCCAAGTCCAACCTCCACCTCACCATCCTGTGTGCCCCACTAGCTATGTTCTCCCACAGGTGCAACTGGCCCTCCACAGGAGGACTGTGGCATGGTCCCTCTCACTGGGAAACCTGAAATGGGGTGGCTTGTCCTTGGCTAGTTGAGGGCAGAATGCTTTGTCCTTCTGGAGAGGATTTGAGCAGTTTTCCTCATGTCTCTTTGGGGATCAGGAGCTGGGCTGTGACTGGCAGCAGGCTGCAAGCAGCGTCCTGGTGGCTGTGGGGAAACGGTTCACCAATCAGGTGATGGAGGAGGTACTCAGCAAGTTCCAGCCTGGGCTCCTGCCACACTGTTCTGTGCTACAAACTCTCTCCAGCCTCTCAGTGTCCAATGGTAGGTGCCAATTTGCCCTGGATCTTTTTATGTCCTTGAGCAGGTCTTAGGACCTCTGTGGTGCCTCAGCAATTCTGCCACCTACTCAGTACCAGTAGATATTCTAAACTGTGCATTTAGACTTTTGGGCCCTCCCTGTCTGGGAGTTGGAGGTTGGGCCAGTCCTGCAGCCCCTGTAATGGCCTCTCTCTTGCAGTGTTTGGCATGGTCCCCTTCCTGCCATCTATCCTGAACACCATGCTGCCCATGCTGAATATGGCCAAGCAGGATGCAATGAGGGTGATGTTCTGCTGTGGTAAGATGTCTGGATGTGTCTGTTACCTTCTTTTGTTTTGTTTAGGTTTGGTTTTTTGAGACAGGGACTCGCTATGTGTTCAGGCTGACCTTGAGCTCACTTTGTAGCCCAGGCTGGTCTTGAACTTGCAACGATCCTCCTGCCTCAGCCTCCTGAGTGTTGGGATTACAGGCATGTGCCATCACGCCCGGCCCTTTGTTATCTTCTTTCTCTTTCATGGGTGCCTCTGTGGGTACAAGAACTACCTACTTAGGTGGGTACAAGTAGCCTGGTAGGTATAAGAAGGCAGGCAGGTAGTCAGAGGATGGGTCCCCTTCAGCTGAGCCACTGCCAGGGTGGAGGGCCTGTATTTCATAGATGTGACCTCTGTCCTTTTGTTGCTGCTGTCTGTTCTTGGGCCTCCCCCCAGCTCTGCGGATCCTCAGAGGTCTGGGATGGGAAAAGACTTCCTCAAAGCAGTACTTCCATCTCCCAGCTGGCAGTGTCTACTCACTGGCAGGGGAGTACTCACTGTGTTACTACCTTAACGAGCTATGCCTCTGTGGCCTGTGTTTGTTCCCACTGTCTCTGGCGGGGGAGCATGGGCATGATTTTCAGCTGCGGCTGGTGTCTAGTGGTGAGTGAAAAGGCTGGATGGAGGGCCTTTCTGTGGGAGTGGAGCAGAGGGAAACTCATCAGGCTTTCTCTGTTGCCAGCTTCCTGTGGTAGCAGGACTGCTGGTTCTGAACCTGGTGGGAAGGGGCAGGCAAACACCAACAGGACTTTCAGATCCACAGGACTTAGTTTCACTCATCCCCACCCCTCCTGGGCTGGGGTGTGTTAGAAGGTTCTTAGCCTGGTGACAGGGTGACATGTATGACAATGTGATACAGACTTGGTTTTTTTTTTTTTTTTTAAATTTTATTTAACAGACTTGGTTTTGACGTGGAAGGGTTTTGATGAGGAAGGGTAACAGGTGAGCAGTAGCTTGGCACTTTGAGTCGCAGCCCACTTTGGTCCTACTCACTTTAGGTCTGGGGTCCTGTCTTTCTTCACAGTGGTGGAGCCCTTTTAGGGGCTTTAGCTTCTTCTACCCCTTCTCTCAATCTCTACACTCCCATCTTTCCTTGCCCTTTTCCCTTATGCCTTCATCTCTGGGGTCTCCCTCTTGCAGACTTTTCCTGCTTGTGTTTTGAGGGTAGGCCTTAGGCTAAGATGGTAAAAATCCCAAGTAGTTCAGACTGAGCATAGATTTTGGACTGAACATAGACCAGCACCTTGAGCATGGAACTTGGGTAAATGAGTCTGGGAGGGTCACACTACATGTGCTGGGCACTGGCAATTACCCTTTTGCTGAAGTCCTGAGAATTGCCCATCACTGATCCTTCCATCCTTGGAGTTGGGGATAGGGCTGACACTGGTCTGCAGTCTGAACCTCCGCCCCATCCACACTTCTGCTGCACTAGTGCCCACTTCCTGTTGTAGAGTGCTGCACACCCTGTTTATTGTGAAGATGGCACTGGGCCACTAGGGTCCATATGGACCTGCATGAGGCCTGATGGGGTATGGGGTATGGCATAACTGAGGATGGAGGTGCTGTGCAGAAAACAGGGTTGTGAGCAGGTGTGAGAGAAGCTGAGAGGGAGGCCCCAGATGGCTGAGTGTAGTGGTCTGACTATATTCTCCTGTCTGAGGAAAGTCTGATTAGAAAGGTGACAGTAGAATAGACAGTTCAGGGAAGTGCAAATGGCCAAGAGAGAGCACCCATAAATAGCATCCCTAGGGAGACAAAACGAGAGAATATATGTGTAAAGGAAGAGCATGTCACTATGAAGAAAATGGAACTGAGGTATGGGAAGTGGAAAACATGATAGGTGAAATGGAAATCATCACAGAAAGACTGGAAGAGAAAATTGGGGAAATCCCTGGAAAATAGAGTCAAAATGCAAAGTTGTAGAAAGAGAAAGGGAAAAAAGGATTAGCAACTGAGACTGAGGAGCCAGTGTTCCAGAAGTGGGCACCAGCAAGGGGGAGTAGAGGGCATGAAATGGTCCCATTAGCCTACATCTGAAGATGCTCCAGACAGAGTGACCACTGAGCACCTGCCCCAGGCTGTAAGTATGGAGATCATGTGGCTTTGGCTCAGGTTCATACAGTACCCCAAAACTCTTATGGGAGCCTATTCCTTAAATCACAGTCTGCCCATATAACATCTGACAGTGAGGGTAGCATTAAGCATTTTTAGAGTATTTTAGGGCCCAGATGTCTCTATCCACTCCAGGTTTACTGGAGGGTGTGCTGTATTAAAAGGTGAATCGAGCAGCAGTGTGCCATCATGATAGGCCTGTCATGTCAAATTGGGCAGTGGGCATTCTTGCGAGGTTAGTACCAGAAGAAAGTCCCCCCAAACTGAGTGACTTAACGTAGTAGACATTTATGTCCAAAATCAGGGTGGTGGTGTGTTGGTTCTTTCGTGGGGTGGGGATCATATTCCTTGCCTCTTCTCAATTTTCATGGTGCCTGTCTGTCCTTTGGCTCATGTTCTTCTCTACCTCTGTCATATGTAAACTCTTCTCCCTGTGTCTGTGTTTCTTTTTTCAGACACTGTCTTGTAGGGCTTAAGGCCCAACCTATTCTACTGTGATCTCATCTTCAATTATATCTGCAGCCACTATATTTCTGCATGTGCATGAAGTCACATTTTAGGGTTCCAGGAAGGACATGAGTTTAGGGGTCCCTGCTCATTCTAGCCCTGTGTCATTGTTCAGCCAGGGTCCTGGGGTGTGTGGAGAGCTGGTGAGACTCGTGCCCAACAGCCGCTCACTGCTTGCTATTACAGCTCTGCAGCACTTCAGTGAGAGCACCTTAGAGTACCTGGCCAACCTGGATCAAGCCCCGGACCCCACAGTCAGGAGGGACACCTTTGCTGCTGACATCTTCAGTGCCTACGACATTCTTTTCCATCAATGGCTTCAAACCCGAGATGCCAAGGTTAGGCTACAGCTCAGAGAAACCAAGGGCCCTTCCCATGTTTCCTTTGCTGTTCTGCCTGCTCTGATGGTGTGGTCTTGGGTGGGGAGGAAAATCTGTCTATACCTGCTGCCAAAGTGGTCAGGATCTGCAGGTCCTTTACCTACAGGTCTCCACACTTGTGACTGGTACCAACCTGCTTTTGGGAGCATGTTGTCCTGGAACACAGCCATTGTGGGACCCTTTCTGACTCCTCTCTCTCTGCTGTCTGGGACACTCACTGCCTCCATGTCACCGTTCATCTGCTTGCTATAGTCATTCTGTAGCCACCTGACTTGCTTCTCACCCACCCCACTTCTCTGCAGCTCCGGCTTGCTGTGATAGCTGCCTTGGGGCCCATGAGTCACCTGCTGCCCACGGAGAAGCTAGAAGAACAGCTTCCCAAGCTGCTTCCAGGAGTCCTCAGCCTCTATAAGAAGCATGCAGAAACCTTCCAAATATCCAAGGTGTCTGCAGACGGGGAGGGTACATTCCATGGAGGGCCCTCAGACCAGGTCTCACAGGGATATTCCTGTGATAGGATTCAGTGTTGGGTTGTAAAGGGTGACATCTCTCTGCCATTCCACACTGGACAGGAGCCTGGAAACCTGCTGCTCTTTCCTGCTACCTATATCTCTACTCCCTCCCTTGAATTAGACACCCCATTTGACCCCAAAGGTAAGGCCTTTGCCCTCCTGGGCCTCTTCCTGAGGGACTGAAGCTTTCCTTTCCCTGCCCTGAGCAGAGCCTGGGCCAGATCCTCGAAGCAGCTGTGAGCCTGGGCAGTCGCACCTTGGAAGTTCAGCTTGATGCCCTTCTGGCTGTTCTACACTCTCAGGTAGGCTGATTAAGGGGTACAGGGGGCTAGGCCCTAAGGGTGTACTTGTCTGGTGCAGGTGCAGGAGTGGGACTTGGGTGGGCAGCATGCCTGAGGAGCATGTGATAGGTCCTCATATTGGTCCAGCCCAGCAGTGGCATGCATGTGTGACATAGGAGCCCCTGAAAGTATGATAGCGGGTGCAGGCAGCCAACAGGACATCAAGGGCTAAGATGGCTGGCCTGGGAAGGCTCAGAGAGCCCACCTTGGTAACTGGGTAACATTGGTCACCATCCTGGGCTCTTAGGAACTGAACACAGAGAGGTGAGGGAAAAGTCCAAGGATGTTGTGAGGTGGAGCCACAACAGAGGTGGCAGAGGCCAGGGTCTTGAAGACTGCTGGAGAAGGTCAGAACCCCCTTACCTGGGATGAAGGTGGCCTGTGAACTTTGCTGGACACAGTGTGTACAGGACACCAGTGACCCAGTGGCAGTGATACGAGTCTATAGGAGAGAGAAGAGGATAGGTGATAAGTCCAGGATAGGCCCTTGAGGAGATTTTGTGAAAGCTATATAGATTCACTTCCATACCCCAATCCTCAGCTGGCTGCAGTATCAGTGGCCCCCACTGGCTTGTCGGACTTAGTCCCAGGGATGTTAAAGGGCAGGGCTACATTAAAAATAATATAAGCATTGTAAGTATGTGATAATGACTTAAAAGCGATACAAAATGAATAGATCCCTAGAAAAAGTCAAAATGTCAAAATTGTTAAAAGCTTGAGAAAACTCAAGCCAGTAAAGGAGTGGAAGTAGTATTCTGAAGCCCTTCCATCCTGAAAGAAGCCTAATGCCCAAGTGGTTTTAAGGTTGAATTCTATCAAACTTCTGAAGAACACTTCCTGTCCTGTACAAGTTGGTTTGGAAGTTGGAAAAAGATTCCAAGCTTTTGATTCCAACCCAAATCAGAGCACATAGGAAAACAATTGTATGATGAGAAAGATAGATATGAAGATCTTATAGAAAGAAACAGCCTACTTAGTTTAGCATTGGCACTGTCAGCACGCCTCATGTGATGCCAGGGTTCTGTAGCAGTGCTTAGTTTTTTCAGGCCTGAACAGTTACATCGCTTGTCTCAGTGATAGACAATAGGAAATATCATTTGACTTTAGTCAATGGCAGAAAAGGGGGGCTGGGGATTTAGCTCAGTGGCATAAGCGCCTGCCTTGCAAGCAGGTAGTCGTGAGTTTAATCGCTGGTACCGATAAAAACGAAAAAGACAAAAAAAAATGTCGAATGGCAGAAAAGGCTTTCAGTATTTTTCTATCATTGAAAATTTTGATGGACACACTCCATCTCACAAGGGATATAATCATTATGTACTGCAAACATAAACTAATTAAAAATAAAAATTGAAAAAAAAGTTTTGGTAAGTAGGAGCCAGTTGTGGTGCATGCTTGTAATTACAGGGCTCTGGGGGAGACTGAGGAGGAAGACAGCAAGTTTGAGCCCAACCTGAGCAATTTAGCAAGACACTGTATCACAATTTTAAAATTTTAAAAAGGGCAGGCAATATAGCTCAGTGCAAAGGATTCAATCCCCAGTGCCATAAAAAGAAAAGGAAGGAGCACTAAAAGACATATTTTTATAAAAACTATAAAAACATAGAGAATGGTTATAAGTGGTAGGTAATGGAAGTGGAGAATGGGCTTGAAAGGGAAATACATGTACAGTGTGCAGATGCTAAGGAAGAAGGAAAGTGTCACTTCCTAGTATTTATGTCCGTTCATGACTTGCTTTTCTACTGAGTTTTAGGGGGCTTTTAATGTTGCGCATAAAAGTATGTAGCAGTTAATTTCCTTATTATATAAGTATACTTTTTTCTTGCTTTATGTTTTGACAGTGTAGTATTTTTTCCATGGAAACATTTATCCATCTTTTGTGTTATGGTTTGCATTGTGTTATACAGAGAAACGCCCTCCAAATCCAGTGGTTATTTTCCAGACTCTCTACTTTGTGCTTTACTTTATCGTTCATTCCCCCAGAGCTCAGTTGAGGAGTTTGTTCTTTTCTCTGAATGACCGTCACTCCCACCCATACCCCCACACCCCAACATTCAGGACTGTGGTTTGTACTGGTCACCCAGAGCAAATCCTTGAGACAGCTGCTCTCTACCACTTTGCAGTCATGGTAGGCTGGTTGTGGAGCAGGTCCTTGGACTGCATTTGTGCTAGTAGTCAGTCTGTGTGTTCAGAGGCCCCTGGAAGCCTAGAGCAAAGCTAGACCACCGGCCTGCTTACTTCCCTATGGTTCTGTAAGGATGGCTATTGTCCAGGAGGGCGCGCTGCCTTATAGCCAGGGTCTTGCTTGGTTCTGTTGGCCACCTCTTTTGGCTCATACATTGGGCTCTTCTGAGGACCCTCTGCACTGATTCCCTGCTAGTGTCCTTAGCTATGACACCAAGGAGGTGAGTGGGGACCTGGGATATCACACCTGGGTTACTGAACAACAGACTACAGATTTTTAGGTGAAAGTACTTTATTCTAGAGATGAATGGTTTCCAGTCTGTGACCTGGGAAGTGGGAAACTTTTTCTCTTTCTTTTCTTTTTTCTTTTTTGAGACAGGATCTTACTATATAGGTAGAGTGGCCTTGAACTCACTATATAGTTGAGACAAGCCTGGAACTTGCAACAATCCTCCTGCTTCAGCTTCCCAAGAGTTGAGAGTATAGGCATGTGCCACTACAAAGCTGTCACCTAATAGGACATGTCCCCTAGGGACAATTCTATTGCTGATGGAGCCCAGGATCTTTCTCTGGAGACTTGAGGGCCAACAGTGTGTCCTTGTGGTGCTGTCTCTCTCTCCCCTCCCCAACTGTGAGGGGCTGGTCTGGTCCCCAGAGCATCTGATGTGGGGACATGGATCCTATGGCTATGGCCTGGGTGTTCTCAATACTGGATAAAGAAGGTCTGGAGAAGGACTTGCCTAGAATTCTGAACACACCTGCATAGCCCATCATCTTCCAGGCATGTGTGTCCTTCCGGCCCAGCCAGATCTCAGGATGATAGTGAGTACTGTTGAGTACTGTCGCGGTAACCTCTGCCTTGTTCTCTGGAGCAGGTGTGCATGCCTGTGGACTCTTCAAGCCCCCTGGTGATGAGCAGCCGGAATGAGGTGCTGCGTTGCTTTACGGTGCTGGGTAAGTACAGGTGGTGTCCACAGATGGAGGCCTTGGACACACTTGGGCCATGCCTGCTCTTGGGCATGCAGAGGACAGTGCTGGTAGCAGGTGTGTGGTTGAGACTTGTTTTTTTTTTTTTTTTCACATCAGCCTAAGGTTCCTAAGGCCTCAGCCTGGACCTATCTACAGTCTAAGCACCAGTCTCCATGTAAATGCTGTTCCCACCCTGCCTTGTCCTTCTGAGGCCCATTTCACGGTCCATGTTTTGTTCCTGCCCCACACACAGCTTGCCCTGGCCTTTTTTTCTAGCAGCATGTGGCTGTCTGGTCCTTGCTGTTGGTTCAGCATTACCTGACCCCAGCCAGAAGGACTGTCATTTGTCACTGTACCTGCTGGTATCTGGTGGTCTTCTGGTCTGCCAGCCCCGTCTCTATACCCGTGACTATTCAGGGTCTGTCTGTCTGATGAGGGGAAGGCAGAAATGTGAGACCTGTCTGCCACTTAGGGTCAGCAAATCACCATCTACGTGGAGGCAGGGAGGGAAGGAAACCTGGCTCTTTGTGGTAGGTGGACAGCAAGTCCAACACAGACCCAGGCTGACTTTACTATTGATGGCATTGGTTTATAAAAAGCAGAGTTCAGGGGCTGGGGATTTAGCTCAGTGGCATAAGCGCCTGCCTTGCAAGCAGGCAGTCGTGAGTTCGATCCCCAGTACTGATAAAAAGAAAAAAGACCAAAAAAATAAATAAAAAATTAAAAAATAAAAAGCAGAGTTCATTGCTGGAAGTTTCCCAATGGCAGTGCCTGGAGGAATGCAGTGCCAGACTGGGAGACTGTCTCAGGCTGCCCTGCCCCTGCTCAGATAGGGATCCAAGTGCTATAGTTACAAAGTGGCCCAGAGGCAGGAAGGGCACTGACAATCCTCAGGTGGGCTCCCCATAAGTTTGAGAAGCTAAAATGAGATAAATATCTTAATGGGCCAAGGATCTAAGTCTCCTGTGCTCTGGGTGCTGCCAACCCAACTGGACCTAGACCATGTGTGCTGCAGCCCCTTACCCGAGATGTATACTTCTAGGAGGGCATCATGCAAAACTGGCCAGTCAGGGAGTTCCAGCTTCCCATGGTACCCACAGTGAGTCTGTTCTTTCTTGGTGCTGGGAATCTAGACACAGGGTAACCAAGACTGACAGACTCTAGGTGAGCCCTGAAGAGTTGGAGGTGTAGGCACATAGCAAGAGGGAACAGAGGATGTTAGAAACAGTGCCTGATGTGTGTGTTGCTCTATAGCTCACTGTTCACCTGACCGCCTGCTGGCCTTCCTGCTACCCAGGCTGGACACCAGTAATGAGAGGCTCCGCGTGGGCACCCTGCATATCTTGAGGCATGTCATTAACTCGGCTGGTGAGTGCCCTCCTTCACACTGTACTTAGTGTCTGGTAGAGTCCATCTTTTAGGTAAAAAGTAGCATCATTTTTTTTTTTCTGTACCAGGAATCAAACTCAGGATCTTGCACTTGCCAGAGTAGCATCATCCTTTTAACTTTTGTTTGTTTGTTTTGGGGACAAAATCTTGCTGTGTAACTCAGGCTGGTCTTGAGCTCAATGGTGATCTTCCTCAATTTCCCAAATGCTGGGATTATAAGAGTGCTCCATCACACCTGACCTGTATATAGCCAGCTTTTGCTTTGAATTTTTTTTAAAGGCTTCAAATATTTATTAATGATCCATTAGTGCTAATCACAGAACAAGATTAAGATTCCTGACTAATGCTGGGGATTTAGCTCAGTAGCATGAGTGCTTGCTTGGCAAGCGCAAGGTCATGAGTTCAATTCTCTGATTCAAAAAAAAAAAAAAAGATTCCTGATTAAGAACATTCAACTGTCTAGCCAATTATTTTTTGTTTGTTTGTTTGTTTGGTACCAGGGATTGAACTCATGACCTTGCGCTTGCTAGGGAGGTGCTTATGCTGCTGAGCTGAATACTAACCCTGTTTATTTTTTATGCTTGATATGGTAATATAATCTGGACCATGATAAAGTATCGTCTTGTGACCTCTGAGGGGGTAAATGTACTGCAGCTCATGTGCAATTCCTTACAGTCCCAGCTTGGTCCTCTGTACTTGGAGTTGTACCTGATTTTCTTACCAGTCTTCATCCAAATCCTTTGAGAAATGGAGCGATTCTGCTTTTGCTTCTTGGCCAGGAATCATTTGATTCTGAAAGTCTTATGAAAAGACATGGTTAGACTTGGGGGCAAGAGCATACACTTGATAGCAGACAGAAGCAGAAGAGTGCAGTGCTTTGAGTTTTTTAAAAAAATTTCCCACCTTTTTATTTTGCAAAATTACACTTTTTTTTTTTTTTTTTTTTAAATTGCAAGAATAGGGCCAGGGATGTGGCTCAGGGTACAGCACCTGCCTGGCAAGTGCAAGGCCCTGAGTTTCATTCCCAGTACAAAACAAACAAACAAAAAAAAAGTGCAAGAATAGGACCATCTGCTTTTACCAGACCTCTATCACTGACATAGCTGGCTCCAGAAGCTTAGTTTCCTGCAAGCTCTAGGATGACCACAGTTGAACAACTGTGAGCACCCTACCAATCCCTTGCAGAGCCTCATAGGTCACATGCTATGTGATGTAACTTCTTTCCCCACTTGAGTTTGTCAAAGGTGTGTACCCTGGCTTAATTTAGTTTTCTCATACTCAATTTATGAAGAAAGGTCCTTTTTTTCTTTCTCAATGGATGCTAGTTTTATAATTATTTTTGCAATATCTGTGCCTGATGGTATCCTCATAATGGAATAAGGATTTAGGTTTCTTGCTTTTAAGATTGATTTAATTAATCAGCAATAAATTTGAAAATACGTTCACAGTTTAATGTATGGGCTTAACATGTGCACCTGTATTTTTGGTGAGTTTCACTCACCTCCTTCTGTAGGAAACAGGAAACTATGGCTGTGGGCCACACTAAGCATACACTTGTATGTTAAGGTGGTTATTACATTTTAGTTTAGAAAAGTAGGCAACGAAAATAGGTGACATAGCTGACACATGTCCTACAAGGCCAAAGTTATGGGCTAGCTAGCTTGTTATGATACAAGTTTACTGATCTATCCTGCATGGGCAACAGTCTTTCCAGTTGGTGGGTAGACAATGACTGTGGACTTGGAGCAGCCTGTGGAGTTACAAGAACGATGTAGGAGCAGTTTCAATAGGATAGGGGCCAGACAGGACAGCGGCTGCCAGACTGCAGTCTAGATTGTGCCACCAAGCCAGGAATCTGGGAAAGGTGCTGCAGAATGTGGCTCCCTCAGCTGGGTACAGCTGCTCCTGTGCCTGTGCCTGCCACAAACCACCTGGGCCTGCTGCTCTGGGCTTGCTGCAGGGGGCGCTGGCTCTCCTGGAAAACAAACTTCAGATGCCTGATGGAAAGTAAGGCATCTTTGCCATATCAGCATTTTGTATCAGTCCACAATTCCCTGGTGAATTGTGTGGCTTTAGAAATTGGGGTTGAGAAGGATAGAGTACCTTGTTTAAGGGATGATCTGGACAGTGGCCCAGAAACATCAGAAGGGAAATTCTTTTTTTTTTGTTTTTTTTCATTTTTATCGGTACTGGGGATCAAACTCACGACTGCCTGCTTGCAAGGCAGGTGCTTATGCCGCTGAGCTAAATCCCCACCCCCCAGAAGGGAAATTCTTGGGGCTTATGTTTTTTTCCATTCACAAGTTCGTGTTATGTTTTTTCTTTATGCAGTCAGTTACATACAAAAGTATATGATGTAAGAAATAGACCAAGTAACAGTTCATGTTTTTTTCATTTTGTGTACATTTTAGGGAAATTGTAACTTTTTTTTTTATCTTTTTACTGGGGATCGAACTCACAACCGCCTGCTTGCAAGGCAGGTGCTTATGCCACTGAGCTAAATCCCCAGCCCCATTTAGGGAAATTTTAATATCAGCTTATGTAGATCTGTGTGATAATTAAATTTTTATTTTGCATTATAGCTCATATACAAAAAATGTATAGGTTTTAATTCAGTGAGTGATCATATAATGAGCCTATGCATTCACTATCCTGGTGAAGAACCAGGGGACAGAAGAATGTTGCTGTGGTTTGTTTAGGACTTTTTGTGTGTTCATTTGTTTGTTTTGTTGTGGTTTTTTTGTTTGGTTGGTTTTTTTTTCTCTGTGCCGGGGATCAAACTCAGGACCTCGCATTTGCCAAGCAGGCATTTACGCTGCTGAGCTAAACCCCTGGCTTTGTTTTGTTTTTTTGAGGCAGAGTCTCACTGAATGTAGTTCAGGCTGGAAACACTACTGTGTTTTCCAGGCTGTACTTGAACTTGTGATCCTTTTGCCTCAGTCTCCCAGAGTATTACTGATGTCTGCCACATGTCCAGCTGAATTTTATTATTTAGCACGACTCTGTGTGTGTGTGTGTGTGTGTGTGTGTGTGTGTGTGTGTGTGTATGATAGTGCTGGGGATTGAACCCAGGGCCTCAAACATACTAGGCAAGCTCTTTACCACTGAGCTATATCCCTAACCTTTTTAAAATTTCATTTTAAGACATGGTTTCACTAAGTTGCACTGGCTGGCCTCAAACTTGTGATCTTGGCTCAGCCCTCCAGAGTGCTTGGATTACAGATATGTGCCACCATGTCCAGCTCTCGGGCCCATTTCTTTTAATCTGTTGCCCTAAATTGCCAACTTTCTGGCTTTTTAGTTATGTAAAATAATGTTATTTTGGGGGGAAATAACTTATCCCCTATAGAGCAATAGACTTCTGTCCTGTTTTCCCACATGGAGGGCCAGATGAGGCCAGACCCCTGCAGTGTGGCCCTGGTCTTGGTGGGGACCAAACCATTTCATTTCTTCTTCTTTTTTTTTTACTTTGTTTTATCTTTTTATTGGTACCAGGGATCAAACTCACGACCACTTGCTTGCAAGGCAGGTGCTTATGCTTCTGAGCTAAATCCCCAGCCCCAACCATTTCATTTCTTTCAGCTGCTCAAATGGAAACAAAGAAGCCCTTTGTCCTCTCTTCTATGAGGCTTCCTCTTCTGGACACCAACAACAAGGTAAACTGCACAGGTGTCCCTGGGTTCCACATGACCAACCACAGGAAGAATGGCCAGACAGGACCAGAAGTGGGACTTCACCAGGAGCTGGGACATACGCACAGGAAAAGATACATGTTTAAAGTGTGTGCCTAGCACTTTCCTATGTTATGTTCCTGATATAGTCAAGCAGGTATGATGTTAGGGAGTTACCCTAAGACTACCTTCCTATTGTCACCAGTGAGCTCAGGGCTCCCCAGCATGTCCTGTAGGCTCAGCCATTTGCTGGAAGGTGTGGGATAGCTCAGGCAACTGTTACAATCATGAGTCATTTCTCTCAGGGTGAAAGTTACAGTCGGCTCATGGGGGAGGCTTAGGGATAGAGTCCAGTAGTGGTCCAGACTCACAGCTTTCAGTTGTGTTCCTTGGGCAGAGCACACAATGCTAGTCTCCTTAGTAACAGTGTGGGACCACATGCGTGAACGTTGGTCACATGCATGAACTAGACTCACTCCTCAGCCTTGGGGTTCTGCTCCTTCCTAGAGCCCTTTTATGTGGACCTGCATAGCTACCTAGGGTGCTACCTTAGCTTCTAGGCCCTCTTGAAGAGCTGACACCTTGTGACCTGAATCACATCAGTGGACCATGTGGAGTGGTCTGCAGCACCAAATCCGTGAATATCCTTATCAGGCCAGACACCTTAAGGAGTTAGAGATGGCCTCCTAGGAGCCAAGAGTAGAGGCTGGTACCTCTGGGCAAGGTAGATCCTCCACTGCTCCCAGGCTGGCAGTGCATAACTTTTGGGGAAGCTCTGCTTGCTCAGGAAAAGTAGGGGTCAACTTCCCTGTGGGAGCCACTGCAGCCTTTGTACTGGCCTTGGGCGTAGTCCTTAAGACTTCCTGTGAATCCTCCTACATTCACCAGAAGCTTGACATGTCACTTTTGCTACAGGGTCACCCTACACAGCTCATAACCTTTTTCATGTCCAGGGATATTTCTTCCTGAAATACCTCTAGCAGGACCCTGCGGCTTATCTGTCACCAGGGCTCAAGTGATATGATATCAGCAGTGTTGAGTGGGCAAATGTACACCCAGGTGGGGCAGTCAGCTGCCAACCCAGACCCATCATGTTTCCACAGACAGCAAACCCATGCATGTCTTGGAATGAAGAGTGGGGAGTGGTCTGTGAAGACCTCCTTCAATCAGTGATAGTTGGTCTGAGCATGCCTTCTCCCTGTCCCCAAGAAATACAGATATTCTCAGGGAGGGGAGAAGGCTCCTGGGGGATGGCGGTCAGCATGTACACAGGGCTAAGGCTGCAGAGAGATTGGCCATGTTAGATCTGCTATGCCTTTTGAGTCCAGGACTTGTTATTAAGGGGGCTGGACATGCAGCTGAAAACTCTGAGAAGCATTTGGTTGACAACTCCAGACCCTGGGAGTTGAAACAGCCAGAGTAATGGTGCACCTCAGGAAAGTATGGTCATCACACAGGAAAAGCCAGTTCTGAAGCACACCAACCCTGTAGCCCCTGGCCAGGCCGACAGTGGGCAGAGGGATGGGCAAATTTGGCACTAGGAGGCTGTGAGTCTGGTGTGCAGGAGACTGGAAGGCAGGGTACTTTGGGGCAGGCTTATCATCAGAGTGCTTTCATGGATTTGGTGAAGCTTGATAGAAGGAAACTAATGAGACAAGATAACTCCGGGGGAGCCTAGCCGGAAGAAAGAGGGATGGGGTACAGGGCAAAAAGAAGCCTTTCCCTACTGACCTGCACATGCCCACAGGAGGGTCAGAGGCTGCTGGTAGGGAGCTAAGGGCCCTCAGACAGACCAGAAGTGCCCTACCCCACCAGGAGCAGGAAACCACCACACATAAGAAAGGACACAGATTTAAAGTGTGTGTGTAACACTCTCCTGACATAGTTAATCAGGAGCAGGTGCAGGTTTAGATGTAGCTACAGTGCTGGTATAGGAACAGGTACAAGTGCTGATACAGACAGGTATGAGTGTAGGTGATAGATGAGGGTGTAGGTACATTTCCAGTACAAATTGAGGTGTGTGGGTGGAGGTGCAGATATGGATGTGGATGGGGGAAGGAAAGAAGTTCTTGTCTACTGGTTGGACTGGCTTGGAGTTCTCTATTTGCATATGCATCCTGATCTGCCATTGATCTGCTTTTGGTTCTGGACAGGTAAAACGGGCAGTAGTGCAAGTGATCAGTGCCATGGCCCACCACGGGTACCTGGAGCAGCCTGGAGGCGAGTTGATGGTCGAGTACATTGTGCAGCAATGTGCACTCCCTCCGGAACAGGAGGTAAGGGGCCACTATTTCACCCATCTCTCTGGGCCCAGCAGTGGTTACGATTCTTGGTCTCCATTTCTCTGACCTCTGTCAGGCACTGGTCACTGGGAGGTGCTGATCTGGCAGCTGGTGGATATGTGGCCTAGGTCTGTGTGCTGTGACTCCCCATGGTTTCTGAGTGAGAGGCTCTGCAGTTTGTGAGTCCACTTGGCAGCTCCAGAACTCAAAAGCAGAAGAAGAAAACCATTCTTTTTGGTCTTTTACGTTTAAGAAGTTACTTAGTACATGACAGTTTTTTCTTGAAGGAAAATGAAATAGAGCATGGTAAAAATAAACTACAGGTAGGGGCTGGGGTGTAACTCAGCAGTAGGAGCTTTTGTCTAACATGCAAGGGACCCTGAGTTTGATCCCTAGCACTGCAGTACACAGTCACAGGTAAACTGCATGCTTTGCTTGTCTGCAGATGAGCATGTCAGTGCTTGGGTTCTTCCAGCACTGGGTGTAATGTCTTCAAGTTAGTAAAGTGGACTATTTTCAAGGTCAGCTAAGAACAGGACCATGACCCTCCTGGCTGTACCATAGTACCTGCCATGCCCCAAACAGGATTCTTACATTTATTCTTTTGTTTTTTTTTTTTACTTTTTTTTTTTATTTAAGGAGAAAAAGAAAAAAAAAAAAAAAAAACAGAAAAAGGGAACAAGTTATACAGAATTTCAGAAAAAATAAACAATAGGAAATCACTAGTTAATAGATTACATATTGTTATCTTAAAAATAGTTGTTCAGGTTACAAAATTAAAGCATATAAAGTGGACTTTCAAACAGACTGGAAACAGTTTTGTTCAATGATCCAACAAAACTCAGTAATACGGTTATCTATCTTATACACTTAAATATATATGCAGTGCTCTTTAGAGCACTTTCTTTTCCTTTCTTTTGCACAATGAAAATTACACATTTTGGGTTTTATTACTCCCACAGTTCTTATTTCTTTTTTTTGAAGAGAGTAAAACTAAATGTGACATAACAGAACAGAGTCAGTCAAATCAAAAGAATGGACATAATGGATAATGTAAAAACAAAATACTAGGTGATCAACAGTGGTTACCATACTGCCTCTAAAAAGAATTGCCTATATCATCAGTTATAATGAACAAAACAGTAAAGAATAAAACCAAAACATTGGAGACATTATAGGACTTGCATCATAATGTATTTTATTGTCTTTACAGTTGTTGCCTATACTTTCGAATTTGGTACTATCAAGCAAAGCAGAATAGAGGAAAATCAGTTAAAGCAAGATGGTGAGGACTATACAGGGTTTCAAATCAAGTTAATAGAAAATCAAAGTGGGTTACTATAATGTATCCTGCTTTTTTTTTATTTTTCCCTTAATTAAAAAGATAAAAATAAAAAAGTAAATAATTAAAAAAAGGAGACTGAGATAAAAGAGGCCATAACAACAAAACAGCGCAGGTCAAAGCAAAACCATTTAAGCAAAATAGTGTTTCACCACAAGATATCCTGACATAAAAGTAGTTACCGTAGTGTCTCTTTCCTTGAAATCTTTGAGTATAACTTCGTATACTGTAGCACCAAACATATCAAGACAATGTAAAACCATTCAAGGGAATGACAGTATCACAGGATATTTAGAACCAACTATCAGAAAATAAACAATGGTTTCTGTATAATCTCCTTGTCTATAAAAGTTTTTGCTTATATTATCACATGTAATAAAATAAAATAAGATACAACCTGTTAAGACCAATGGAGAAAAGAAGAATAAAAGCTTGATGGGACTTTAAAGCAAGATGATACTAAATCAGCACTAGCTATTATGATGTCTTGTTTTCTCCAAAATAGCTGTTCCTACCATCCAACCTTCTCTGCCTCATTTCCGTTGAGCTCTTTTTCTGTCATTTGTTGTCAGTTTGTCTTCTTCATTTCGCTTTCTGCTCCATTCATTGTGGCCTCTCTGCCACTGTTTCTGAAGTCTTGGTATTTTCCTTTTTTAGAATATCCTGCAGTATTCTCTGTAGAGTTGAATTGGTGGTTGCAAATTCCCCTAGTTCCTCTTTATCCTGGAAGCACCTTGTTTTTCCATCAATTTCTAGGGACAGTTATGCAGGATATATCAAATCTTGGCTGGAGGTTGTTATCTTTCAAAGCTTGAATTATTTCCCCCCATGCTCTTTGTGATTTGATGGTTTGTGTCGAGAAGTCTGCTGTAATTCTGATGGGGTGTTCCTTTGTAAGTGATCTGTTTCTTGTCTCTGATGGCTTTTAGTATTCTGTTCTTATATTGGATTTCTGGAATTTTGATTATTATATTCCTGGATGTAGCTCTGTTTGGGTTGTAGGTGGCTGGGGTCCTGTATTCCTCATACATCTGAGTACCTTTACCTTTTACTAAATTAGGGAAATTCTCTTGGATTATTTCTGTAAATAGCTTTTGTAGTCCATTTGTTTGTGTCCCTATTTCTTCTTTTATGTTCTTAATTCTTAAATTATAGATCCTCTTATCATCTTCTAGCCTTTGTATTATTGCTGTTTGTTTTCTTGTTATTTTTAAGAAGTTTTTCATTTCATGCTCCAATATTACAAATTTGCCCTCCAATTCAGATAATCTATCCTTAGTTTCTTTCAAGGTGTTATGCCAGCTTTCGATAGAGTTTTTAGTTTCCTGGTAACCTCTTTTAACCTGCTTCACATATTCTATGTTTTCTCTATTTTTTCCATCAAACAATTCTCCCCTTTTTTTCTGTTCTTCCATTCCACCATCTGTTTTTATCTTGGGCGGTGCTTAGCATTTCTCTAACTATTCTACTTATATCTTGCTTTATTTCGTTAAATACTTCATTTTTAAACTTGTCTATGAGGCTCTGGAGATACTGCTTTATGTCTATTGGTGCCGTGTCTGATATTGCATGTTTTCTGTCTTCCTTTGCGTTTCCCTTTCCTGGATCAGTGTTCTCAGGATTGGGGACTGAGGACCCTTTCTTGTTGCTTCCTCTTCCCATACTTTTTGTTCCTTCCATACAAGCGAATGTAGGAGGCCCAATTTTTTTCTCTTTTTCGGTTACAGTTTGTTTGAATTGCGCTGGCTAGGTGTTCCCGCCCACTGCGGTATACTAGGGAGACACAGACCTGGGCAGCCTCTGCTGGGCCCGCCCCTCCAGGTCAACCTACCGAAGGCTTCACTGCTAGGGTGCACCGCCGGGCACTGGGACCTGGTTTGGGCTAGCCTACTGGGTCTTAATCAGTGGCGTCACACAGGCCAGGCACTGCCCACCAATCCCGCTTGAGAAGGGAATACGCGACTCATGTCACTGCAGCGCCTGTTCTGGCAAGTCTGCCCGGTCCCAGTATGTCCTTTGCTGGAGCCTCCTACTCTATGAAAGGGTCCCCGTTCTGCTCACTCACCGCAAGTTAATGTAGGGCTCCCTGCTAGTCCCGTTCTCAACTCCGTTTGCAGATTCCCGCTCTCAGAGCTTTTGTGCGTCTCTCTCCCTGCCCTGCAGATTTGGACGCAGCAGCGGCAGCAAGAAATTCTAATCGCGGCTTCTAGTGGCGCGGGTTCAAGCTTCTGTGCTGAGATTTTATCTGTTCCTGTTATAGGACCAAGATTGGATTTCCAGTTGGTTTCTCTTAGCTTAGTTGATTCCTGGGTCGGCAGGGTGTATCTCCCCTTGCTTAGTACTCCTCGTACCACACCATTCCTGGGTTTTAAGTGGGGTATCTCAGAGAGCATCTGTAGCTGCTGCTGTCTATCTGCCATGTTCTTTCGGAAGTCTTTTTTTTTTTTTTTTTTTTTTTTTTTTGAGACAAGTTCTCACTGTGCAGTTCACCTTGTATAGTTCAGGCACTGTGTAGCCCAGGCTGGCCTCAAACTCAGAGTGACCCTCTTGTAAAGGCCTTCCAAGTGCTGGGATTATAGGCATTTACCACCATGCTTAGCTCCTACATTCATTTGAAACCTAAAGATCAGTGAGTGAGCTGATTCCTGTTCTGCCACATCCAACAGGAGAACAGAGCCTACTGGTCAAGGAAGCAGACTGAGGAGGTGGGATCCATGCATCAATTTGGGTGCTTTTCACCTCAGTGATTTTATGGGTTATTAAACATTAACTGAAGAAGCCAAAATCCATTTTAGTTTCAGTATTGGGAATTTGAAGATTCTTTTTTTTTTCTTCTTTTTGATGTAGGCTCTCACTACTCAGTTTAGGCTGGCCTGGAGCTTACTTTGTAGCTCAGGCTGGTCTCAAACTTGCAATGATCCTCCTACTTCAGCCTCCCAAGTACTGAGATTACAGGCATGTGCCATCACATTGGCTTTGAAGATCTCTTAGTATTTGAAAACTAATAAATTTAATAATTTCACATAGGAAATATGCTTTTACTTTCTTTTGTAAAGAAGGCTGTATTATGAATTCTGAAATAATGGCTCAACATTTCAAGTGGAATGAAAGGTAACAGACTTAAATATTTTTAAAAAGAGAACCTCACTGCTCAGTGTCCACTATTGGAGGTTAGGGCTAGCATGGGCCTGTGGGGGTCACTATATAGAGCTTTCTGTTTTTACATGTTTCAGTTTGCCATGACAAAATGTTTAAAAAATGAAACAAAAAGAGGACATGCTGCTGTAAGACAGATGGACTTTGGGATAATGGCAAATGTGCTGCAAACAGAGGTGACAGCCAGTGGCAGGGAAGCACACAGATGAGGGAGCTGCTTGCTGATTCTGCAGCAGCCAATTGGATGCAGGCCATCACAAAGAGAGAACTGGGACCCAGAATCCTTGGTAGCATTTAAGAGTCCCCTTAAGGTTTTTACAGAAGTGTGAGTTAAAACTTGATGCAATGGTACACACCTGTAATCCCCTCTATTCAGAAGACTGAGGCAGGAGAATTACAATTTTAAGGTCACCCTGCACAATTTAGCAAGACCCCATTTCAAAATAAAGTAAAAAAAAAAAATTGGGGCTGAAAGTCAGTTATAAAGTGTTAGTCT